AAAAAAATTAGACCGACAAACTTGAGGGGAAATAGAGAACATAAAAACAAACATATTTTGTTAATAATGTTTTTCTCTACGACGCTTCGTTTTAATACTACAGAGTACAAAATAGGAATTTTATGATTTTAATTAAAAATAAACATATAAGTGGAAAAATTAAATTTATTTCAATTACACATATATTTTAATCTTCAAAAAACAATTAACAAAAGAACGGAACAAAAATGTGCAATTGATTAGCTCAATTTAATAAATGTTCAAAAATTCCTTCATTTGCTTCAACACAAAGATGACATCGTCGAAACATTGATTGTCTCACACGCTCGAAGACTGCAGGAATATTCTGAACCTGATATGCTGCAGCACTAATTCGGGCTACCAATTCTACTTCTGTTTCAATAAATGGTGTCTCATAAATGAGTTTTCATATGCCCTCATAAAAAAGTCAAGCGAAGATAAATCTGGTTCTTTTGTTCATTGTTTTTTGATGATTAAAATATATGTGTAATTGAAATAAATTTAATTTTTCTACTTATATGTTTGTTTTTTATTAAAATCATAAAATTCCTATTTTGTACCCTGTAGTATTAAAACAAAGCGTCGTAGAGAAAAACATTATTAACAAAATATGTTTGTTTTTATGTCCTCTATTTCCCCTCAAAGTTTGTCTAATTTTTTTACACCCTGTGTATATATATATATATATATATATATATATATATATATATATATATATATATTCGTGGAATGCTGGCAAAAAAAAATATATATATATATCGTTTTGAAACGATATACGTACCCATTGACTTCTGATTCTTTCGTTCCGCAGAGCGTCACCTTCAAAGACACCCAGGGCAAGGTAACAAAGGCCGCGGAGAAAGCCCAGAAGAAAAAGTAACCATCAAGCTTCCTCGGAAGCTCGCAGTCCGCCGGCCGGTGCCCCGCAGGCGTCCCCGCGCATGGACCCACCACCACCACTACCACCACTACTGTCAGGACGCAGCACGCCGCGGCTGCTCCACTCGACTCATACTCGACTAATACCAAAAGTCATAAGATGTTGTGCTTACCCCCGTTACATTACCCGGTAGTGTTGAACCCGCGCATCTATCCGAATCTGCACATTCAGTTCACCCACGCCCCGCGCACGCCTCACATATGCTAGGAGGAAGCGTTGCCCGCGCGTTTTACTCGCAATTTCATTAATTACTACAAGTATTGACGATATGTGTCCGATTGATTACCAAGAGGTCATAAATAATGAAATAAAACAAAAAAGAAGTAACTAAAAAAACGTAAAACGCAAACCAAACCGGAAAAAAAAGAAAAGAAATATGAAACAAACAAGAAGTACTAAGTTCCCTTGGACTCTATGTGTGTAGTTAGGTTTTTCAATTGATACAAGCAACAACAACCATCGAGCATCAACGACGACGATAAACGGATCGCAAACGGTCGCGAAAACCGCCACGCTTTAGGATCCTCTCGTCGCTCGCGAGGGAGCGAGACGGCGGCCCGTCGAGGTGTCTCGATGAGGTCAGATTCCGAGGTCGAGGTCGGACCTTCGACTCTGCTCCGGCCGACCGGTGAATGTCGTCGGAACAGAACGTACGAGCGCAATGCGCGGCAGAGCGAATGTTTCGACGGCTGCAGGTCGCGGAGCGACGCCGGGCTGACGCGTCACACACATACACACACATGCATACACACCACACACACACACACATATATACACGTTCCATACACATCACACGCGTGTGAACACGCCGGGACGAGCGCCGCCGACTCGCGTCCCCCCTGATGACCTCTCGCGACCGATTCTTCTTTTCGAAGGGCTCGTTAAGGCTGATTTGTTCCGAGACTTGGTTGCCTCGCCATGTACGCGATTAGTTTTATTACTTATAAGGTACTTATATATCCGTAGTTAGGGATCATTAGAGACTACTACGCTCCCTCCCCTCCGTCAGCGAGTCGCCGGCCATACCCTCCTCCCTAATCGCAGGGGCAGCAACGCACGATGTCTGTCTCTACCTCGGGGGAGGTGTGTGAGTTTTATCCAGCGTCGCGAGTCGCCCACGTTAATCTCGGCGCTCTCCCTCCCTCGCTGCTCGCGATAGACGCGTTCTACGATTGTTTTCGACCCTTAGCCAGTATTATGTTGATGTAATAAAAAAATCTTTAATTGCACCTTTCCGAGCGTCTCTTCTTTCTCTCTTTCTGTCTTTCCCGGCGACGTTGCCCGTGCAATTGTTCACGATGACAGGAGAACGATTATAGGGTGATGATATTGATCCTCCAGTCATTGACACTGCAGACAAACCTGGTTTCTCTTGCGTCCAACAGCGGTAGTTCACAGTTTTAGTTTGAAATTTTTGGAATCGTGGAATGCTGGCAAAAAATTTAACTACAACGCTGGTCACGAGAGAAACTAGATTTTTTCCAGAATTTCAATAACTCCAACGGAATGTCAATAATTGGGCGTTTAGGTTAGACTTACCGTAAATCTAGAGAAAGGAAATTTCAGAACGCCAAGACTAAGGTCGGTATTCATAGTTCGATCTTATATTTAACATCATTTTAAGAACTGTCTTAAGATGTCATGAATCAATTACAGTATTCGCATCTTAAGACATTACTTAAGACGATCTTGAAATAAAATTCGACTATGAATACCGGCTTAAGTTTTCTCTACCATCTCTTTGTTGTCAATGATCGATCCTCGGTGAATTATATCCTCGATCTCCAAGCGTGTCATATACGTTGCAGAAAGTGGTCGGCGCAAAAATGGCAGGCTGGTCTATTTGGTAAATATAATTTATTCCGCGATAAATTCTTCGTTAAACTTACAACTATAGACATGGTATGTACAAATATATTTAATGCAGCGATCTTACAAGAATTTAGTGTAATGCAGGTCTTGGTCAGTCTTTAGTTGCTGAGGCCCGGTTTGGCGGGGCGTCGAGCAGACTCAATCCTCTCGTGATCGAACATGACACAGTTATATCCGCGAAAAAAGAATGGGAGAAGCGATCGAGGGATCGGGGGGTAGCGGGAAGGGGGGAAGAAGAGAACAAAACGAAACACTTGCCTCGTACACACGTGGGATCACATGAGTGGAATCAATCGTACTTGTGTAGGCACTTTTACGCTACTAACTCACGAGACCTCGAAATACGGGAAAATCGTCGCACGGTACGGATCGACGCTGGCTCGGGATCGCGTCGCTGTCGCGCGTCTCGCGCGGGTATTTGGCTATAGCCTCGTTACAGAAACATCACGACCGCAGGTTGGACACGAAAAACGCGGCGCGACGCGCTCGTCTGAGTCCGATTACGACGGGATTTCGCGATGAGTGTATATCTTACGTCGCACAGTTTTGCGAAGCTGTGTTTAGTAAGGTGTTACATATGACGAGTTTCATACAGAGAGATATATATATATGCATATGTATATAGTACGTATATATACTGCCTGTTTCTCTTCTCACTGTATCGGGAAGCATACGTGTACGGGTCTGTTTTTAAGCGTCAAGATCACGTTCTGCACGATCGTCTCCGTGCGAGAAACGGCGTGATACAGCCCTAAAATTCGGACAAGACACAGGAATCCGCAGAAGCCGAATGTTGCATCCAAATACAAACGTACTGTCCCGAGGGAAAATCCAAGATTTTCTTCGCTTGTCATAAAAGATTGATTTTTGTTAAGCTATGATATAACACGGCTATTGTCATGCAATCTGAACGGTGATAGGGTTTCACGCAGCACAAGTGAACAATTTTCTTCCTTTTCCTTCTTTCTCTAGATCTCTAGAGTGTCTAGATCTCTTCTCTTTATATTCGGATACAACATGCCACTCCACCTAATCTAATACTTCGAATTGGCGGAACTGATTAAACGCTCGATATCCGTGTGTAAAGTGAGTACTCATACGTAATTTTTGATACTGATCTCCGAGTAAGAACAGAGCCGCGCGCGCGAGAAGTTTGTCGAACTGATGGAAAGTAAGCGACGGAGAGTAGGGGGGATGAGAGAGGTGAAGCAAAAAAAGGAGAACGAGACGACATGCCTGTTGTTAGAGAAGAAGGACCGAGGGAGGGGGCAAGGAAACGAGTGTGAATTATACAGTAACGACGAAGAAAGACACACCGAAGCCAAAAACGACTTGGAGCTTCCTACCTTTAATACTCTACCTATGTACAACCCTTAACACGCTTTCTCTCTCGAACCTCGTAAATGCTAAAGCGACCCACAGCCTCGGTAAATGTACAAACATCCTCGATTTCGGCGTCTCCTACGCTACAAGCGCCGAAAGTGACCCGTACACTCGGCTGCGAAACGGTTTGAACTTTTTTTTTCAAATAAAATGAAGAGCGCGATGAGATGATCTCGAATTGCGAGCCACCAATCCACGAGCTGCGCGGTAATCCGTTATGACAGGAGACGAAGTGACAATACATAAAAGATTCGACGTCGTAACTGCAACGGAGGATTCAGGAAAAACTTGAATATTTTTATTATATTCTTATGTACCAAATAAGAATATAATTTCTCTGTTTTTCTCTGTAGTCCTTTAGGCCCGATCTACAATAGATGGAGTAAGGAGTAAGAGTAGGAGTAAGAAATAAGCAGTAAGTAAACAGATCATTCGATTATTTTTGAAACGTGAGAATGGAATTGGTCAATTTGCTTACTGCTTATTTCTTACTCCTAGTACTACTCCTTACTCCATCTATTATAGATCGAGCCTTAAGGGACGTCTACATTGCAAATAAGTAGTAAGAAGTAGGAAGTAAGAGTAAGAAATTGACCAACCACAGTCGAATGTGAGAAGAATAATTAACTATGATTGGTCAATTTCTTATTCTTACTTTCTACTTCTTACTGCTTACTTCCAATGTAGACGCCCCTTTACTCGTAACCGAATGTGGTGACTTCTCTTCATATACCTGTGGTGCGCAAGCTGATTGTACACAGGCATATCGACCTACAGTTTAACGCCGATTCCGAACGGCAAATGATGTTAAATACAACAGATAATTTTGAGAGGTGTTCTTGGCAAGGACACTCTCGGTGGGTTGCCTTTTCCTTCCGAGAGGAGCACGAGCTTATGAAAACTTTTCGGTTCTGCCGAGAATCGATAACCTCTAGCATGGTAGACCAGTGCGTTGTCTGCCATGCTACGCTACTTAAGAATATAATGAAAGCTCAATATTTACACCGTGTATTGTCATTCTGGCTCTCCTGTCAAAGTGATTGCCATGCACGCTAATAAGCAACGCCTTGCAATTTTTATCATCTCATGCGCTTCTCACTTCATTGGAAAAAGTATGTACGAATTGTTTCGAGAACGAGTGTACACTTGATTTAAAAAAAAAAAACGGTTTAAACACTTCTTCCTCGACGCAATTCAGAACGCAGTCGATGGTCCGATGAGAGAAATAAACTCCTAGGAATTAATCAAGTCCTTCTTATGTCGCATTACAAACTGCATTAAAAAAAGTATTCAAACCGTTTTGAAACCAAGTATATACGACATACGCGCAACTGAGTTCTATTTCTTTCTTTTTTCTGCACGAGCATGACCGCAAAAACTCGTCGACGAGCGCTGGAGAAAGTCTATCGTTTAACACGTTGTATGCCGTGACAGTCGCCGGTGGCACTGTCGCGTCTCATTGAGTTGCGTCTAGAGTTTAATTAATTACATTCGAGAAATCGATTGTGCAGCCAATAAGCAGTTGATGAAACAAAGCGAAAATATATGCGTCCCGAACGAGACTTTGTTTACCTTTAATGATTCAATCATCGGATATAAGTTTTTACATACAGCTGACGGAAGTCACCGCGGCATTCAACGTGTTTAACCAACGTCTTCGACTCCTCGACGCCGATGGTCCATGACGTTTCCGAGTGGTATTCTCGACGACGGAAACGGGACTTCGGCACGGATGGTGCTAATTAGTCGCACACAGGCGGCTCTCGTCGCGTTCATCGCAGCTAACAGAGTAAGAGGAGGAGCCACAAACCGCATCGTGATTCTCGGCGAAAAACGCTACAGACACGATGCCGGTTTCACCATCGAGAATCCGGACGACAAAGCACGTCTGATCTCTCTTTCTCTCTGTATCTCTCTTTTTCTCTCTCCCCCTGTCTATTATGTTTGATGCTGATGAATCGGGCTGTGGTGTTGCGACCACGCTGGCGGCGTCGAGTGGTTGAAGTTGACCGATATCGTAACTGGGTGGAGGACCGTGTCGGGCCCGGTGTCCGGAATGAAGCTGAGGTGCGGCCTAACCAAGGACGCCTCGACCGTCAACGGCACGTAGAAGGAGCCAGCTTCGTGCAGGGCGAAGATCGGCACTCCATGTGACGACGATGATGACGATATCGGCTTGTCCAGGCCGCAACCGCCGCCGAGGCCGGCCACGGGCGGTGAGCTCGACTTGACCCGCTCCGCCGAGAACCTCTGCTTAATCGAGCTCTTGAACTTGTAGTTGGCTGGCCGGCACGACGAGGCCGTGGGCGGCGTGCTGTGCGAGTGGCTGCTGTGGTTGCTGTCGTCGCTGACGATCGTCGGCGGCGGCACGAGCGCAGGCCGCAGCGGACGCTCGGGGTCGCCGAACGAGCTCACGCCGGACGAGCTCGAGCCGTGGTCCGAGTGGCCGTTCGGTTGGCAGATCGTCGGAATGCTCGTGTGCGCGTAGCCGGCGCCGTTGATCGCGCTGCCGTTCGATACCGGCAGCTCGTGATGGGGGAAGCCTAGTCGGTCACCTGACAAATGCGAGAGATTAATGTAGAGTGAAACTCTCTCGCGATGGAACGAAATACATAGTTGCGAAATTGATGTTTGAAGAGAAAATACCTGGAGCATTATTTATGAAATGAAAGCTTACTTTACAGAAATCCACTTCATTTCACAGAAACGGAATTTATATCCCACAAATATATATATGAATTTTCAAATATCTTTTTCTCAGATGATTCACGAATACTATAAAAGTAACTTGCGACTGCACTATGAGAAGAAGAGGACTATTCTTTTTAGCTGAAATATCTGAATTAGTGCAGATTGATGCAATAAGTTAGAACGAAACAAAACATATTAGTCTCACTCGAACTTATTACACCAGTATGCATCAGTTCAATTAAAAAGAACAGACCTAAGATCAATCGAAGAAACTCTCTCGAATCGGTTTATTCAAATTTAATTTCAAAGTTGCGAACTTGATCGTCTCGAATTTTTCAGCAGAATCTTCGCGTTTGTGTAAAACAAGCACAAAGTTTAACATAACGAGGCAAACTTAAAGTTGACCCAACACATTATTGGTCATCTGATTTTCTTGATCTTTCACCAGAGGTAGAATTATTTGTATTATGCTAAAGATAGTAAAATTAATTGGAGAGATTGATGATTCAATTGGAACAATTAAATATTTTGGTAGATGCAAAAATATCTGCATAACCATGTTTCAGTTTCTCTTCACCGTGAACTAAATTTTGCAGTTCAAATTTCTACGTCAGATTGCTGGTTTCAGTTTGATTGCAATAAAAAAGTCTGAGACTCAGTGTTCTTTATTAGATCTTTTTTTTCCAAAGAGTGCCTTAATTCTTTAAACAACATTTTTATGTTCCTTTAATTTCTCTTGTTCCAAACAATCTTAAAATTTAATTAAATAATGCGATCATAGAGCTGATTCGATATTAATCATATTCATTGCCTGATTTATTTTGTCTTTCAACCAGAGGCAATTACTCAAATAGTGCAGTTAGATTAATCAGCTGATAATAATTGAAAAAAACATCTATGTCATAAGTACAATTACAGTTTTTGCTGTTAACTGAACTTTACTTCAATCAAATTCAAACTAAATATCAGTCCAAATTACTATGTCAGATTGTCAATCCGATTCGACTTTTCTACGATCTGACTTCGAATGCGGTTTGCGCAACAAAATTTGCGTAACCTCGAGACCTTGTTCTTTATGACGGATTTTTTTTCAATGTCACAATAATAGCACGTACTCGTGGCTAAGATCTTGTCGCAGTGCTGCTGCAGGTGGTTGATGAGCTGCACGCAGAGGGAGTCCCTCGCGAAGAAGCCCTCGACCTCCACGAGAAAATGCATCGTCTCGCTCAAGCACTCCTGAAAGCCCAGCCGATAGTGCTCCGCGGCCGAGGACGCCGCGGTCGAGTGCGATATGCTGTCCACGCTGTCCTCGGGATGGGCGTGCACCGGCGTCACCGGCGAATGCTTGGTGTCTAAGGAGAGAAAATATTGCCGTGCTGACAAGTGTCATGCTGTTCCCGCGCGTTTCTCACGGAAGCGAAACCCGAGAATTTGTGTACTTGCTTCGATATACGCGAACACTCCGCGAGTATTATAAAGCATTAGCTTTACAAGATTATCACGGAGCGACATCAGCTCTACTGCTCTACTTCCAATTCGCACAATAATTCTCGAAATATTCCGTTTTTAAATTAAAAATATAAAAAAAGCGGAGTAAATTAATTATCTTTTTAATTAAGTTAACTTTTTTAATATTAAAGGCTCATAAAATTCATTTGATTTAGCTAAAACTTACATAAATGAAAACTAATTTAATTGAAATTTAAGTTAAAGTTGAATCAACTTATTAAAGTTAAAAGTTAATTATGCAAAGTGATGTTTTTTTGAATAATTCATTTTTTAATTATAGGCTCAATTTATATAAAATAATAAAAAGATAGTTTTTTATACGAGAAAATACTGATCGTTTTGTAAGCTCAGGATTCTATATAAGAACATTATCGCTTAAACAAAGTTTTGTTGCCGATATTTTTTTTTTCATTTTACATCATAAATAACTCGCAATGATTTTAATATATTTTGAGAATTATTCTAACTTGTATAAAAAAGTTAATAAGGTTAATAAGTTAATACGTTTTAAAAAACTAGTTGAAACTGACTTAATTAAATTTAACTTAATTAAGAGTTATTAACTCTTAACCGACTGACTAGTTATTATCCAACCCTGAAAAAGACGATAAGAGCTTAATTTGTAAGTCTAATTTGCATATATTTATACTATACTACACAAATACGTACAAATAATAGTAATAATTAGGTACAGATTATAATAATAACAATTACAAAAATAATAACAACTAATTATAATAATAAAACAATAATTCTAATAATAACAATAACAAATTATTTTAATATCGAAACGTTTCAATTATAAATTGTGCTTACCCTCAATCGAAATTTCAAGTACATTATGATACAAATATATGCACAAATTAGACCTATGACTCGACTCTTATCGTCCTTTTCCCTGTATTTTTTATTAGACTTTAAAAACTAGAATAATTGAATGCGTGAACTCACCTTGTCGAACGCCCTGAAGATGCTTCATATGGCGGATCGCCATCTCGATGATCTCAGTTTTCTCAACCCTGCCTCGGCCCTTCTTCAGATACTCCGCTGGTATGAGTCTGCTGAGGTCAGCTAAGCAGTTGTTCATACGATCTCTCCTGCGCTTCTCGATGATCCTGTGTGACATCGGATCTTGCTGTAACAGAAACGAGCACGATATGGTGAGCCCGAGATGCCCTAACAAGCACATTAATCATTCCCCTTAAGTGCTATCCTAGGCCGCGTGTTAACGCATTAACGCGCCGCTAATACCAATGAAAAATAACGCATTAGACGACGGACATTTCAAACCTGTAAAACTGTTACTCTTCTTACGGAGAAAAAGCAAAAAAGACAATAAATATCTCGTTTCGTCATGTAATATCGCCGGCAACTGACGTGCGTAATATATCGCAGATTTACAACACGAAAAACACGAAGCGACGCAAGCACGTATCATGGATGAAATACCAGAAGCTGTAAGATAACCGGTAATCGGCGGTAACTTTCGTAAGTGAAGATTCGCGAGCGTACGATGCGCCTGCTTTATCCACTTGACCTTTCGCTCAGTTCTCAGTAGTAATAGTCAAGATAATGGTCAGACACGTAACGCTCAGATCATACTACGCAGTTCATTTGCATCCCAATCTCCCCCAATTAATTGAGCGACATTGAAAATATCATATCCCACTCTCTCTCCCTCTTTTCTCTCGAGCATTCTCAATCTCTTCAGTCTCTTGGAAATTAAAGAGCAAGAAGGAGAAAAGATGCGACGAGAACTTTTGCGCTGCAGGTTTACAGCCCGATTATAATTCGCGCTTGCGATCTTCACGCACAAAAAAATACTATTTCAATACTAAGAAAAGCGATTATTCTCTTTAAGTAATATAGCTGTCTTCAACAAAGAATATTTTCTTCATAATAGTAAAATATATTATTAAAATAAATACATCACAAATGAGAAATCATGTATTCAAAAGAAGAGAGGAAATTTATTCTTCTCTTATACAAGAATATTATAAAATTTTATCGAAAAAAAATTGATTCGAACTCTGTGTAAGCAAACAAAATATTTCTTTTAATTTTATATTCTTGAGTGTAAAATGTTATACTCAAAAAGATATAATCTTATCATTAACTCTCATATATAAAGAGAATTGTTCTAAAACCAAAAAAAATACATTCTAAGCACAATATCTTTTTAAGGTTAGAGGAATTTCATCTTTTATCTACAGTTCAAATCTTGTTCTTAATAGAAATGTCTTCTAATAAGAGGACATACTTTTTCAAGTAAACATATTTTCTGATTAAAAAGATAACAATAAATAAGACTAAATATTATTTTAATTTTTGTCTTTTAAAACCAAAATATTATGGTTCCAAAAGAGAAAAGTTAAAATAACATCTCAATTTCCGAGTAATATATTTCATTAAAAGAAGAATACTGTATTGGTAAAAATCTTCAACGTGGGATTACAGAAAATAACACTGCAATTGAAGCTTTTTTCTTTGGAACGTTTCTTTAGAACTTTTCTATTAGAACGTTTTCATTTTGGTTTCAGAAGAGTTTTCTCGAAACCATAATTTCTGTTAAGAATAAGGTTAGATTTTTTGGGTGTAATAAGACTCAGACAAAAAAAATATATTTTAAATAAATTTTACGTTTATTTTAAATAAATTTAACGTTTACAGAATGTCCAGTAACTTATGGAGGAGCCGCGGTGTAGAGTAGATCAAACTGAGCAAAAATTGCGAATAACCACGTAAAATTTTGAGTTATTAATCCAAGAAGATTCGTGAATGATTACGCACCATACGGATGAACTATGATGGCGACGTTTGCCATTGTATGCTTGTATATTAGATCAAAGTGAACAAAAAAAGTCCTCTACCATTTTTCAAATATCACATAAATATGTAGTTATTAATTAACCTTTTCGGAAACGGGAAACATCTTTTGATGCTCTATTCATGCATATATTTTAGAAACTCGATCCGATATTCACAAAAATTGGTATGTAGTGGTTTTTTGGTGTGTTCTTCCCAAATTTGAAGTAAAAAATGTAAAATTCAAAATGACGAATTAAATATGACGAACACAAATGAGCAGATGTGATCAGGTAGGGTCAGATCTAAAAATTTTATTCCTTGATCGGCATTGTGAATCTCAAATATTCGATTTCAGTTCTCAAAAAAGTATCTTTAAAAAGTTTTATAGTTCAAACTTCACGGAAATTGAGTGATATTTATATTATTTATCATTTTTTCCGTTATATTGGGTCCGCCATCTTGGATCACAGAATTTAAAAAATCTAAGTTCAGATTCGGATTCAATGATCCCAAAAACTCATAGAATACGTACTTCCCTATAATTATCTTCCCAAGCAACCCCCGTCTTGAAAAGGTTAAAGAATATTAGTGCATCATCGCGTACAATTATACACCAAACTTCTTTAATTATTAACTTAAACATGTTCGTGGTCATTTGGAAAACGATAGAAAAGAGGACTTTTTGTTTAATTTGACCTAATCTACCTATGCACTGCGACTCCTCTGTGAGTTACCGGACCCTGTATACGATTTGTGTGATAGATTTGCGAATATCTAAATTTGCGAAATAGTTGAAACAAGTGGCATTTACTCGAATGCTGTTTTCCTGTGTGCACGTTCGGAAATAATAAGCCGCAGCGTTGACGTCGCGCAAGATATCAGATGGCACGTGTGCCATCTCGATGACGATCAAGTTCTGAACGGGAGATCGCAGCTACCCGCGATCGCGTGCAAATTAACCCACGCGTTATCGCACTTAAAGGTCACATCGCGCACCACAAGCGCCGAAATTATCTGTACGTGCCGTGTGTCACGGTCCCCGCGGCACGTATCGTTATATAGTTAGGTAATCGCTGAATTTCGCGAAATGTTTGGCTATCGCACGAAAATGCGGAAAGATAATCTCGAGCGCTCGGGCACGGATGGGCATGATGTAGCGGATAAATCTCGGCGCTTGCCACGTTCAACGTTCGACTACCTGTGTATAACAATACACCGAAGAACATTATCGCCTTTATCGTCGAAATCACGGCTCTTCAATGAGTTACAACAACGTGAGCTTCCTGCGAAGTGCCTCCAAACGAGTGCTTGCGAAAGTCAAAGCAGGTCCAGATATTATAGGAAATCACGAGAAAGTGATTGCAAAAACTCATTCTTCGAACTCATTCTTCAACTATTTTTTCAAAAATGTAACGTTATCGTATATGGAAAGACAAAATATCTAAAAAATAAATAATATTAATAATATTATTTTGTGTAAGCACTATTGACATATATTTACTTTTACTAATATAAAGTGTTTGTCAAATTCTCTAAAAAAAACTTTATATGAGAAATAATTCATGAAAATTTATTTGAGATATAAAATTTATTCACATATAATAATATACGTAAAAAATTTATATGAAGTTTATTTGCACTGAAACAAAAAACTCGGAACTTATTTATAGAATAAAAGTATATTTTGCAAAAACATATATATAAACTTTATTTCACAGAAAGTTTATTTTCGCGAATAAATTTTATATTCCACAAATAAATTTTCAAGAATTTTTTATATAAAGTTTATTTCTGTAAAACAAATTTTTATCTCACAAATAAATTTTTAAGTATTTATTTCTCAGTGCACAAAAATAACTGTTTATTCTATATTTAAATTTAAGAAAATAGATTTAAGTAAATATGTTATTGCTACCCACTAAATAAATATTACTTATTTTTCATATATTTTTCCTCTCGGTGTAATTTTCTGTCCTGTAAAAAGGTATTTGAAGATTTATTTGTAGGATATAAACTTTACTTGCAGAAATAAATTTTATTTCACAGAAATATAAACTTTATATCTCACAAATAAATTCTCAAATATTTTTTCTCTCAATATGGAAGAACGAATCTTCTTCGCAAAGCGCACAAAAGCGGCTGGAGACGGATTCGCGATTCATTCCACGCGCTTCTGCGTCGTCGGGGCAAATCTTTTCACATTTGCGAGCGTTTTTGTCGCAGATGGATTCTCTTTTTCGCGATAATTATCAACGATTCACGTTTGAACTTTGCACAACCGACGTTCAGCTTCGTAACATTACTTGTGTTAGTCTCAGAATAAACGACGGGATCCGTGATTAGAGACACAAGCGCGGTTTGAACAACGTGCTTCTCTCGTCGAGATCCGTAAACTTTTCAGAAGATAATGGCCAATATTGCACGCTCTCGGACCGACTGTTACATGTGGCTAGGACGCTCGCGTTTGAAATAGCAAACGGACAAAAGCGACGTCACAATAACGCCTCGAGTCTCGCGCTAATTTACGAGCGCGTAGCATTCAAACGGCGGAAACGTGACGCTCGTGTTCCTGGCACGCGGCCAGTGCGAGACGAGTTTCCGTGAAGCTCATTCATGCGGAGTTACGCAAGCAGACGGCGCATGCACGCACGCACGCACGCATGTATTCACGCACGCACAGTCGGAAACGAAGACGGAAGGCGTGCAAAACGGCGCAAAAACGATGAATTACGACGAAATCAAAGACGAGATAACGGTAGTCGACCTTTGGCCGACCTAGAGTCCCGTAACAGCTCCGAGCAGGTATGAGACAAAATTTCTCCGACTAAAAGCTCCATCGGACGCTATGTTCCTCCTGTTCTCTCTTCACGATATCGTAATTCGAGTTACGCAAAGTTAATTAGAAGTTATTATTAAAGAGAGGTCTGTTAAAAATTACATCACGAATAAGCTCTCAACTGTCTGTCTGAAACGTAGAAACTTTATTTGTAAGAACCTTGAAACGTTTTACCTTCAAATTTTCTTTTAAATTTTTAATCTTTACGTTTCTTATGATTTATCAATATTTTCGGAAGAATTCACTCCAAATTAATGAAGTTAAGAAAAAAATTAATCACGAAGGAATTTGTAAATCAAGGAAAAGAACTGATTAGAAGTTATCATTAAAATGCAGTGTGTCAAAAATTCAATCATGAATGAGCCTCAACTGCCTATTTGCAACGTGGAAACTTCATTTGCAAAAACCTTGAAATGTTTTATTCTCAATTTCTCTTGATTTTTAATCCACAAATATTTCATGACGCAAAGCCTACTGGTGTGTCAATATTT